TAACTCTAGCACTCTCTATTCTAATTCTATTCTTAAAAAAATAAAAAAAGTATAAAAAAACCTAACACTTGCTTTCTAATCTTTTTATATTCTATCTGTTTTCTTTTAATTTACTATACAATTAACAAAAGCAAAAAAGACCTCTAACACTAGCTTGCGCTATTCTTTTTCTATTCTATCTGTTTTTTTTATTATATTATTATATTATTTAAAAAACCCTTGCTACGTGTACTGCGTTAAGCTAACTGAGACTTGTTATAGCACTTATCAATCATTGCTCTTTTCTTGATTTTGATTGCTTCCATTGTCCTCATTTGTAAGTCGCTTTGGATAAAAGCATCTGTTAAATGACTAAATGTAAATGTAAGTCGCTTGGGTATATTTTTAGCAATATTCAAAAAAAATATTGTATGGGTCAAAATTATCAATTTTTCTTTTATGCCAAAAATCATTAGGATATTAAGTAAAGATCATGAAAGCTTATTTATTCAGCTTTCCGATTATGTATAAATCTCAATTTAAAAAAATGACCCTTATGACTGGTTTTGTTGTATAAAGACTCAATGGAGGAATGATAGCCACTGTGTAAGTACTTTAGAAGGAGAAATGTGGTGCAGAAGACATACAGTCACAGAAGTAATTTGCCCACGTATGCCAAAATGGTCGAAGGATTGTGTCTATTTCGACTGGAGATTCAGGTGTGCAATAAATCTACCAAAGCCCCTTCAAATCCCCCCTCAAAAATCTCCCTCGCTCTTTCACTCTCTCTCCATCCATAACTATGTTCTAGAGAGGAAAAGTGCCGACTGTCTCATCTGGATTAAGCCTCACACAACTGTATTCAGTCACACAGTTTGCAAAACAGCAGCTCTTTTTAGTCCTTCAGATGGGCTCAGCTATCACTTGAGCTGTAATTCACAAACTGGATTGATGCTTCTTTAACCCTCAGTGATCCATGCATTGATATCCATGATGGATTATTTTTTCACCTATAAAGATGTTTTTAGGAAGCAATTACATTTAAAAAGTTTTGAACACAATTTGGTACACAAACGTATTTTATAAATGATATATTAAACAAAACACTTTTTTTTTCATTACTTGGGTTAATAACCATAATTTCAGTATAGGCTCTGCTCCTTATTCCCCTCATAACACTGTTCTTCATGTGGCAAATTGTGGCAAAATCATGACTTTTTAATTAATAAACTTATATTGAATAGATTAAATGATTACAAAAATAGAGATTAGCTAAATTAAATCAAAAAAATATTTATTGAAAATTATGTAATATGTAATTGCTTTATAAAAATGTATGCAATTCTGCTACGCTGGGTCTCTAAGTTTAATAAAGATACTAGTTAGCAGACTAAGTAGCAGATGTTAGTGGAGACATTTTACTCTCTGTAGGGATTCAAATCTTGACCTTTACTCATTTTCCTACCACTCTATTCAAAAGCTGTAAATGCAATTTGTCTCTAAACACTCTAACCAAGACAACCAAGAGACTCATCTCCCAAAGCAACATTTTAGGCATCATTGGTGCCCTTCCGATGTAAAGGCTGCCCCAAACAGTAGGCAGCAAATGCACCATAGCTTGTATTTGTTGCTGATAAGGTAATCCCAGAATGCACTGGGGTAAGCTCTGAGAAAATGATCACCCATGAAAATTTCAATTTTAAACAAAGCTATATTTTATTCAGTGTCAAAAATATTGATCGAAAATAATCATCTAATTAAAAATGTGTCTGTTTTATTTTGTCTGATATTTGTGTGTTACGCATTTATTTGTACTGAGTCGTTAGCTCAGCACCATGACTACTGGAATAGACTGTGTGTGTTAATTACTGTAAGTCTTGTGTGTTTCACAGTCAGAGCGCTACTTGTGTGCTGCCTGTGTGAATTCCTGCCCATGAAGAGCATTTCAAATCAGTCTCTTTGAGGGTTTTTTTTTTTTTTTTTGGTTAGGATGCTGCCTTTGAAAATAGCTGCCTGTGTGCACAGTAGAGAGTGAGATACCACACAAGAACATAACCACATAAGTTTATGTCTTTGAAAACAAGTCCTTGGTGGACAACAGCTTAACATTTACAAGCAGATGTTAAGCACTGTAAGTGGCTTTACTGGAATGGGATGAGGCCTTGCCAAATCCTTCTGGTTTTGCTACTGCTAATCTACTGGCATGATCCTGCATATTATCATGGATTTTATAATAATAAACTTACTGGACAGATTAAGTGGTACAAAAAAAGAGTAGTCTGTTAAAGACAAAACAAAACAAAATATATATATATAGTTCAGTCATGAAACTCTAGATAGCGCAGGCGACGGGTTGTTAACGAAACCGAGGATATTCAAAGAGCTAAACGACTTGGCACAGCTGATTGGTTCATGCTGCATATGCAGCCAATGAGCTTACTGCCTTGCATTTATATGGCTGGCTAGCATTCACTAGAGATTCCTGCAGCGCGCTTTCAGAGTTTCTCTGAAACCCTCCAACCTTCCCCAGCTCCACCTGTATAGATCTTCTACGGGTTAATCCGTAGAATTAATCTATTCCGCCAAGACCAAATACATTAGCATTGTCATATCCATCACCATGCTAAAATCTTCAGAGAGTTGTCATGATTTAAAAATAAATATATATTTTTTTGTAACTTGGGTCAATATCTATCATCAAATGCTGCAGCTTGTGGTGGTATAAAAGGTGTTTTCTGTGAGAAAAAAAAAACAACATTACTGAAACTGAGGGGGAAAAGAAATCAACAGAGAGTTTATTTTTGTGGCTTTAGATCAGTGTGGACTCTGAGAGAAACTCCCAAACTCTCTCATCAGCTCTAGGGCAGCTGGATCAATTCTCATCGTATTATACCCTACATTAGCTGGCAGAGTTAACTGATCGCTCATGGCAAGAGTCTGTTGCACTCTCACCCTACCCACCCTTCGCCAGGCAATTAGCAGCATGACCAAACCCTACTGTTGGGCAAGGGAGGTGGAAAACAACAGCGAGGCTATTACAAGTCTACTTAAACTTGGTCCATGCCCTTCATCAACACCAACTGAGCTGACAGTGACTACACAAAGGTCTGAAAAGAGAGGACTGTGTGGCGGTGGAGAGTATGAGAGGAGAAAATGGAGGCCATCCAAGCCATCTCAAATGGTGGCAATCTTTCTTTGTCGGAGATTGTTGCTTAATTAATGAGAGCCCGAGGCAAGTTCAAACCTCAGTGCTGAGAGGGAAGCATCGAACTGAACATATGAAGGCAAATGACCAGAAATTTGCCAAGAAGAATGAAAGATGGAAAGCCAGTAGCAGCTGATTGGAATGGCGTTCCAGCAATATAGAGCCATTTTTTAATAGACTGCAATCAAGCCTTTCTCAGTGATTTGGATGCTGCTCTGTTATCTATAAAAGTATACACAAATATGTCAATATAAAATAGGCCAATGCTAATTGGGATTTATTTAATGTAGTGATTACTGCAAATATTAAATATTATATTTGATCGCATTATTCAAACATCAGCACACAGATCTGATTAAAGGGAAAGTTACTCAAACGTGAACATTTTGCCATTTACTTTCTCGAGTCATTCCAGTTCATTCAAATATCATTTGTCAGAACTTCAGACTAGCATCTCAGTATCACAAAGAAAATAAAACAGTGTTGAGGATTATATAAGATCTGTGGCACATCAAGGTTGTGTGGCTTTTTTAATGCTTCCAAACAAGATGAGATGTTACATTTGAATGAAAGACTACAGAAACAAACGATGGCTATGTTATGAATAGATGAGCAAGTATCAGTCATTTGCTGGGTTTCACAGCAAATAGATTTCAAGTAGCAAAGTCAGCTAAGTTTGAATAGACCGTGTCAATGGCAATCTCACAATTTAACATTTGTTGAACTGTCTTAATAGAAGAACTAAAGCACAGGAAGGATTCAATTTGACTTTATTTTCATTATGTGAAATAAAATGTCAAAATCAAAGTCTTTGAAATGCAAAGAACATTAAGGACGTACAAACCCTTCTTTTCCACACAATAAAATAATATCGATAAATGATGATAAACGATACATTAGCTTGAAATCTGAACCTAAACTGCCACTGCTGCCCCTTCAATCAATCAATCAATCAATCAATCAATCATTATTACTAGTGTAATCTAACCACACGCTGTTATGGGAAATATATATTTTATGTTATTAAATGGGTAGTAGAAACAGACATTTTACAAAAAAGAAAATGGCCTCCAAAATTGTTTTGTAACATTTTTCAAAATATATTTTTTTATGTTCTGCAGAAGAAAGAAATGCATGTTTGTAACGACAGGTGAGAAACTGATTTTAGAAAATTATTTTCATTTTTGGGTGAACTACCCCGTTAAAGAAAGTAATGACAAATTCCAGAATAAATTATCATTACCAAAAAAAAAATGCATTAAGCTTTAGTAACACAAAAATATTTTATCATGACAATTAGAATTACTTAACCAGACATTTCACTCAAACTGCATGAATCAGGTATCATTTGTTATTAGCAAAGAATCACTTAGGAGTGTTTTAATTGAAAAGGGACTTTCTGCATTCTTTAACATTTGCTTCAACACTAAGTCACATTTAATTACTTTGCCATTTAATGTAATCTTTTATCTAAAGCCACTTATCAAAAAAATAAAATAAAATCTGAGACCAACCAGAGGTAAAATGCACCGCCTGGGGGCAAAATTATGATTGTTCATGGATCTGTATCTATTTTAATCTACAACTTTTTTGCCTCCCTTGAGCTTGTGCTCCCACTGAGTGTGTGTTCATTCATCAAAGTCTTGTTACACACACACACAAAGCTTGCACTGACATTAGCTCATCAAAATTCTCCACTCTCAAGTGTTACTTTGAAGGTGGTCTGTCCAACTCTTGCTGAGGGACCTGTGAGAAAGTATATCAACAGGATGCAATTGAACTCTCTGTGAAACCATATCATAAGACATTATCCTTTAATAGACTCTATTAAGCCATGACATGTTCCATTTACTTTAACTGTGTAATTCTGAACTCTAAGAGGGACAGAGACACTGAGACTGAAAGAAGGTGAGTTAAAGATGAGGGAGTGCTGGACAAACATTCGTTTACAAAAGTTTCAAACACCAAGGACGACATAAAGCTGGTTCATAACTCATTATGTAGGCTCATTTCAATTAGCTGTTAAGCTCAGTGATAATGAACACACTTCGATAAAACAATAATTAGGAGAAAGCGAACTAGATTTATATGTTTCCTGTTTTCGATTTACAAATTAATGAGGGCGAAAGCAAAGTGAAACACATAAAGCATGTAATAAGCCATTAATCCACACAAAATGTTGAAGGAATGTTAATGCACACAGGTCAGTCTGAAGAGAACAACCAGAAATGCAAAGTGAGGGAGGAGGAAAGAGATGAGAAACAGTGAAGGAGTCATGATGAGTGTGTGATTATCTGCAGATTTTCACTATGGCATTACTTCACAATCAAAGTGTCTGCTCTCTACTGTGAAACAGACTGCAGACTGGGATGCAATTACTGCAATGCTCTTTATCTGTCCCAGAAAACTTTTTTTTATAACAGAACTGAGAGAGCGAATGTGTGGATTTATTGGTAACATTTTGAAACTATTAAAAATGATTTGTTTAGGCTAGGGACATTTAATCTATAAGAAGCCATGGACCCTCAATGAACGGAGACACAAAGCACAGTATTTAATACAGTACAATGTAAAAGTCTTTGTGCATTAGTTGCTTTACAAAAACATTTGTTTTAAGACTAACACTTAGCTTTCGCTTTAGTGTGCCTGTAGGCATTCTTTTTACAAATACTGTAATAATCCAGTGAGATTATTGTATGTGCAAAGAGTCTGACAACAGACGATAGGACCCACACAGAAATCCATCTGAGGGTTGTCCCCCCTAAAAAATATGATTAAAAACCATGCTGTAAAGTGATTATTTTCTCTTTAATACAGATGATGTCAATGTATTTTTCAATGAGTCCGCTATGTTGGCAATAGGCTTGTTTGAGATGCGCCTCGCCTCTCCTGAAATGAAGGCGAGAGTAGGCGGCTGCAGTGAGGGGAGGAGTGAAATAAGCTCAGGCAAGACGGACAGTTCTTGACAGAACGCAATATCACAGTTGTCTGAACCAATGAGCAACCTGTTTAATGATATACTGAAGAGTAGTATACTAATGTAATGTTGAGGCAATAAAATTGCGATCGGTTATGTATCTACCAAGCATTTAGCTAAACTTAACCAGCCACCCTTTACACAAACCTTGTTACATTAGCTAAAAGTCCAGTGCCCATAAATATACTAAATGATTAGTAACCGTTAATAAACATTTACAAATGATGAATAGTTTCAACTTTAGATTGGTAACTGCAAAAACATGAACAAATTATTAATAAATGTCTAGTAAAGAGGTGTGAATCTCTGCAGAAAGTTTATACACTGCTGCTTTTTAACAGCTATAAAAGGAATATATATATTTTATTTTTATTTTTTTTAACCCATAAATGGTGTAGTTACAGCATTGACCAGCAGGGGCTACGTGGACAATGCTAACTAGCCAAACCTTGACCTCTCAATGGTTCAAATCCTGCTCATGTTTGCCATTAAGATAAGAAATGGAACTAAAAAGGGTTAACACTCTCATTAAAAGCTGAACGTGTAGTATAAGATGTCACTATCCCTCCATTAACCCAATCATTTCCCCAATTTTTCTAACGATGAAAGTAGATTTGATCCTGGTGCATTTGCATTATGCAAGTTCATAAGCGATTGGAAAGCACCCAGCAGTGCTCCATCAAACTAAACTGGGAGGTAAAAGCTTTTGGTTCCCCTCAGTAACCTGCCTACTTGCCGACATGGCGGCAGCAACAATACTACAGCGAGAATCAAAGTTACACTTTCTTTCTTTGCGTGAACATTTGGGTGGTGTTATGCAAATCTTCCCACATCGTGACGTAGACATGTGGGGGCGTGTTTGAACGAGGCGTTTTAGGAGGGCGTGAACCAGTCTTAACTTTTATAAAGAATATCTCTTTGGGTTTGAGACTTTAGTCTTTGCAACTTTAGGGATCTTATCTATTCACGAACAGCTTGTAACACTCCAAAGAGAAAGGAAAACGTGAAATTGCATCATATGACCCCTTTAAAATAGCAGTAATAATAATACAAATTATTGTTTTAAAATGTAATAATATTTCACATTATTGCTGTTTACTGTTGTTTTGATCAAATACATGCAGTCTTGGTGTGAATAAAAAAAACTTTAAAAATCTTACCAACTTTACATATATCTGACTCGGCTCAAAATAGTATCATCTGAGAAGGGTGTCAATACCAGGTGTAAACAGGGTTCATGAGAAGCCAAACGATGGAATTGACATATCTAGCTTATCAAATCCTCACATCCTACCTAATGCTCTGTTATACTGTACCTTCTATACTACTAATAAAGTAACTTGGGCTAGGCAGAGGTATGAAACATCAAGTGATAAATTACAAGAGCTGTAGAGCGGTAGCCTGGAGTGCATTTTTCTAGATCTGTATTTCTGGAACATTTGAAGTGTCCCCCATTTCACGGCATAATTTTTCTTGAAAATGTGCTTGTTAAGTGAGTTCTTCTCATTAGTATAAAAGTAAGCTGTTCTTCCATACTTGCTTTTTTTTATTTGTTTCAGTCTGTCCTAGTTTATTTTATTCCTCTTCATTTTCCCCACAATCATGCTCGGAATAGTTTAAAGAAACAGTTCATTCAAAATCAAACTTCTGTCATTAATTTATTCATCTTCATGTCATTTTAAACACATATTATTTTCTTTCTTATATGGAACACAAACAGAAAAGTTTCGAAGAATATTCACAGTAAATATACATATATTTCCTTTTGAGACCAAGTCATGAAGTTTTTATAAGACATGATGGTGAGTAAATGATGACAGAAATTTCATTTTTTGAGTGAAATATTCCTTAACACTTAACTCTCTCTCTCCATTCTCTTTCTCTCCCCAGGGCATTTCTTGATTCTGACACATTTTAGCCTTTCAGTCTCTCCTCTGAAGAACCGCAGACTTCCATTTATGCATGCTCTGTCTATCTTTCTCCCTCTCTACCACTATTTCTCTCCCTTGATCCCTCTCTCTAACCATGTATTTTTGTGAAAAGAGGTAATGGACATATCTGCCCAATTACTGAGCATGTGCCCTCTTTGTCCCTGACCTCTAACTATTCCACTTGACCTCCCAGCATTCACTGTTTCAGACAGAGACAGAAAAAAAAAAAGTGTAAGAGAGAGAGAGGCCCGCATGAGTAAAATCAATTTGAAGCAATATATTTGCATTTCAATGTAATGACAGGTTTCTAGTATATATGGTGCATGCAAATATTTAAATCTTAAAAATGTAAAATGTTGGCCCAAAAAAATTGATGCTGGGGAAAAAAAAAAAAAATTCTTAGCTCAGAATTTCACCTTGACAGTAAAGAACAATCATGTAAGGATTTCGAATAAATAAGAATTACATAAATTGGAGGATGTTGTAGTCTGAGCAATCTGAATGATTTGTGAGATATCGTTAACTTGTAGAGCCTCTTACTGTATTATCAAGACACAACTGTAATAAAAGGGGTTTTATTAACAAAAGGATAGATAAGAGTAACTAACAACTACTAAATGGACACAGTGAATGGATAAAGTGTAAAAGATTGATAAATGCAAGTTGGATGTTACTATGGGCATTATCTTATGGAAAGATAAACTGAAGTTTCCTGAAGGCAATACGGCAAACCTTATTAAGATTCAACAAATAAATTGAGAGATCATTTGTTATTAACTGACATCAGCTATATAAAATATAATGCAAATTACACACTAATGCCAAGGGTCTCTGGGGAAGAGGTTTGGAAAGAGTGATATTTACGTTCCGCCTGGTCATGTGCTGAGTCTGAGCGGCGACGTCTTCCACTTGTTGGTCTGGGCCACGTTGCAGTGAGAAGAAAGGAGCTGGATTTGTTTCAACACAATTCGTCTTGAGCACGAAGCACTAATGAACAATGAAGTCCTGAGCACCGAGAAGGTCCTAGGAACATGCAAACGGAGGAGCCTTGAAGGTGAAGGTTCTGAAGTCTGTGCAGAAGATCCGGACAGTCTGGAACACGCAGAAGGAAGGATCGCTGACGAGACGATTCTGACGTTGGTGGAGACGATGTGGGACACTAAGCTTGTGGTCCTCATTGCTGTTGTGGTTTCCAATCTCCCCAAATTCACTTCTTGTAGATCTTCCTTGTTTCTCCTTAGAACAACTTGGCAGCTCTTAGGGCACTTACAGTAGTAGCTACAACAGCTAAGCACATTTCTTTGTCTTGAAGATAATCTTTTATTCTTCCCTGAGAAGGAGGGATTTACAAGTTGATACCTTTCAGATCCAGCGTTTTGATTGGCCGATGCTGTCGGAGGTGGCCATGGTATGGCACCTCTCTGGCATGAGGTCTATTTGCATAGCTTAAAGTCCACGTTTAGAACAATGTCTTTAAGGTTTCCCTATGCATAATTCACTTCCCAAACCAATTTCAGATTAACCAGCACATTGTGCTGAAAATATGAAGACCAAACATCAATGGGTAATGCTGAACAATTACCCATGCATTCATATATTATTGAACTGTTGTATAAAAGTAATATCACACATTTGGAGTGACTCATCTCTCTCTCTCTCTCACCTACTGCTCTGCGGTTTTAGTGGACTAATGATGGCTGACTGTATTCCTGAACAACTTCAATTTTCTCCTTGTACATCAAGCAGGTCCTATTAATAGACCAAAATCGACCTGGCTCTGATGTAACAGTCCGAAGTTACTTAAATTAAAATAACTAAATGTATAGATATCTATTCACACATTCGCTATTTTATTTGAAATCATTTCATCACCACTTAAAATCATTTTAAGTGACACGACTAGTTGCAACGTGTCAAAAACAGAGTGTGTGTCCATCAACTGAAAGCACATTGTAATGCTGCACACAGCTCAGTTGATTATAATGGGATTGAGCTTGTTTTACATGTCAGGCATCTGGTGTAGATGAGCGTAACCAAACTTTTCTGACAGATGTGGGCATGCAGGCTTTGTTGTCTTTTACAGATGTGCAACTACATGTGTATTTTCAGTCTGTAATAAATCATGTGGAAAAATGCATGGATATAAGGCTACTAACAAGTAGGAAAACTGCTGTATGATATAACATTACAGGTCAAAGCAAATGCAAAAAAAAAGCTGAAAATGTATTTATGGGCCAGATTTAAAATAAACTATAACACTTAAGGGACTATATGAAACTATCTTCCATAAGGGAGGCGGTTTTATACCATTGTCTGTAAGTTTTTGTACACGGATCATGTGTAAATGGATGAATATGTGAGTGTGTTTGCGTATGTGGTACCTGTGACTCTCAGTTTGTCTGTGCCAATACTGATCTCCTCTTCATCAGCAGAGAAGAGAACTGTCTCACCATCACTACTTCTCACTTCGAACCGCTGACACTGGGCTTCTACCATCTCAGAGCCTACAGAAAGAGATAAAGAAAGAATAAGGCCTTGAGAAACAAGATCATAACACATATTTTAACCTTTGCAGCCCACATAAATCACCTCTAATCAGGAATGGTCTTCTTGTGATGGACAAGGGGGGCATGAAAAATAATGGTGGAAGGTAATAATACAAATAATAATATATTATTATTATTCAGTACTGTATGCATACAGATAAGATTAATTTAAATGAATTAAATTGTCCATTATTGATGCTGCCTTAGAAGACAGCTGCCAGTGTTGACAATGATAAAAAAAGGAAGCTCACCAGGTTTCTGAGTTAATATTAGAGCTGCTGCTCATTAGTGTTTGAAGACTTACTACAGTGTCAAATTATATAAATATTTGTACAATATGCTTGATTAATAAATGTCTCTAGTTAAAAAAAGGTACCAAAGAGAAATACAAATTCTTTCAACCTGAACCTTTCAACCAATTCTTGCACCCAAAAAAAAAAAAAAAACTGTCCCGAAACACACAATTTCGACTGTCCAATAAGTTGTATGCAGCAAATAATTGAATATAAAATGGCGTAAATGAATTTGACTCGGCATGAGCCAAGGAAGGGGGAGGGGGTTGGGGGAATTGCTTTTAGACCATAAGGTTCAAAAGGTATTAGCAGAAATATGTGTGCAAATTTGGCCTTTTGGTGGCGCTAGAGAGTTTGAGATAGATACTCCAAATTTGCCATGGTTAATATTGACACTGTCCTCTATCTGTGTGCCAAATTTCATAACGTTCCCGCAAGCAGTTCTATGGGCTGCCATAGACTTCCAGAGAAGAAGAAGAAGAAGAAGAAGAAAACTAACAGATGCAAGAGGTGCCTAAGAGGTGTCTTGGCCCCTAATTAACAACATGTGGGAAGAGTTCCAAATACAATGTTATCCAGGGAAAAAAAAAACTCATTGGAAAGGTTCTTACAAATAATAGCAACATAAATACCAATAATATCAACATAATCCCACAAATTCCTCTATGTTGCAGTTTACTATGGAAAGCCTTTCTTATTTAGACCCTGATGCATGATTATGAATTAGAGAAAGAGCTGAGTTTGTGTTTGTTTCACGCAGGAGGCTGATGTGAGAGATGTGAATGACTGATCTTGACTTTATTCACTAAGCGTGACTTGGCCTATAAATTACACTGTCACTGGAATGTCAGTAGCTTTTAATGCACTGCCCCAAACAAACACTGCAATGGCTTCACTGACTATATTATTCATCACAGCTATCATATCTTCCATGTCTTAGGTGACCTTGGAGAGCAAACTTGGCTTTGTTTGTTTGCCCACATTATGCGTGTGTGACAGAAAGTAAACTCCTCTTTTTTCCTAAAGCCCACTCTCCCCTTTCTCTGCCACCCTCTATTGTCTTTCTAGCCCTCTTCATGCATTCATTGCCTGTCCTCTCATTTTTTCAGTGTTTGTACTATAAGACACCCTGCACTTTCTCCAAGCACCCTATGGCAAAGAGAGCAGTACATTAAAGTAGAATATAACAATGAAAATTTTGGGATTTAATTTAGGCAACTTTTCCAACATGGCTTTCTTTATATTTACTATCCACCTTTTGGATGTAATATTAGAAAGTTATATAGGTTATTGATACTGTATATAGGACAACACCTCTCACAAGCTCAACTTGCCAATAGTTTATTAATAACGTTTCCATTTTAAAAGGCATTTGATATATTTAACTTAAAATAAACTTTACAAACTTTTGTATTTTCAGTTCAGTAGCCTGTTTTGTCCAATGTCTCAAAAAGCACAGCTGACATACTTATTTCAGTTTGGCATCTGAAGGAGCCCCATATCAACAGTTGATTGAAGCTGTTGTTCCTGCTGTGCTTAAACATCATTTCACAGACCTAAAGAAACAAATGTAGAGCACATCTTCAGATCTTGAAGTTACTTTTTTTTTTTTAATACAAAGAGATTTGGTGTTGGATTATGTTAAATATATATAAAAAAGAAACATGTTCATTAATTAATTGCTTTGCATTCTTTTCTCTTATAAGACGATATGTTGCATATCAGTGAAAGTCCCACATCATTTGATATATTTTAAGGAAAAAATTACTGAAAAAAAAGTCACATTTACATTAATTATGTTGGATAGTGATTAAAGATGTGCTTGAGGATAAGGCAAGGCTAAATTTGATTATGCTGATGAGATCAAGAGGAGAGAATGCTAATAAATTGTTAATTTATACTCATATTTTAATGAGAAAAATATGGTAGCCAGAGATTTGCTCATAGATCCACTACAGAGCATGCTCATCTTTAGAGAGGACATGACAGAAACACACCACAGGATTATAAAGGGACAGATTTGCTTCTTTCTTTCTTCCTTCGAGTGAAAAAAAGTTTTGATTTGTGTGGTTGTGGCGTATCAGAAAGACCAAGCAGTCTGTGCATCCATCAGAAGAACTGAAAAATTATTTAAAAATAAATATTGATTTAACATGGCCACACTGAAACAGGAAGCAGAGATTCTAAACTAAAGAAAAAATATGATTCATTTAACAATTGCACATGATCGATTTTGTGCAAAAAAATCTCTGGTGGCCCAAACATTAAGATCTTGCAATTATGAAAAATAAAAAAAATAAAGCTCCTTAGGTCAAAATATAGCCTTAATTACATAACAAAACATTTATTAGACCTCATTGATTCATAATTAAAGCCATGTTGTTCACAACAGGTTATTACCTCATATTCGTTTGCATCACATTTAATGTTTGCGTGCTTCAAGAGCTCAAGGTTTGAGTGCTTGATTACTTCAGTGATTGTTCTCAGTGAATGTACATGTAAGGAGTAAATACTCATTATTTGGACAAGGACATCCTCACTTTCATAAAGCCATCCAGACTGCACCACCTCACGGATCTCACAGAGCCTCTCATCCAGGTGATTTAAATGAGAAATGATGTGCACTGGATATTAATGACGTGCTCTTGAATATTAATTGCTACTGATTTACCTCTCATTAAAACTGAGGAATAATGATTAATGGTTGTTTTGAGGTTGGAGGAAATTGAAACTTTCCCTTGGAGTGAAATGGCAAAAATGTGTCTGTTGAATTCAAAAATTACCCTAAGGAAAGCATTGAGCGTTTTCAAACTGGAGTCTAGGATGTCAAGGAGTGCTGGGGGGTCAGTGGACTTTAGCCTCCTTGTTAGTGCGTCTGCCTCCCATGCCGGAGACCCAGGTTCGAGGCCCACTCGGAACAAGAACGAGGTGTGGCGGTGAGGACCCGGGGGAGAGAGGTTACATCAGCATGGCTGTGATCCAGCCATAGGCACGCAGCCACATAGGCAATCACAGCCATGCTGATAGAGCAACAAAAGGCTCTCTCATAAAGGTAAATATCACATTTAGGGGTCCATGGCAGAAAAAAAAATGGGTTTGAAAACCCTTGTTTAACAATACTCCTTATAGTCAGATAAAAATGTGCTGTAAATACACTGCTTTATTATCATTCCAGCTACAGCAAGAGGTTAAGAGGTTAACAGCTGGGCTTGGATGAGGTTGAACATCTGTGCAAAATGCTGTTATATAAAACGTGGAGCTTCTGATCTGAATTGCTTGGAGGTTCTAATCTGACCTTATGAGTAAACAACCTCTGCTGATGCAAGCCAAAGAAATGTCCACATCCTTTTTTTCAGTCAGTCAGTCAGTCAGTCAATCAAAAAAATAACAATGTAAGGGCTCTGTATTAATGTAGAGAAATGGTGCACAAAATAACACCAAAAAAATAAAATAAATACAAAATAAGTAGCAAAGATAAATTATTTTTCCAAACCGGATAATCCTCATCAATAAAAAGGCGAAATGGGTGAATTTTGAACACCTGCATTAATCAGTGGGTGTGTGTGCATGTGTGCTGTAAATACACTGCTTTATTATCATTCCAGCTACAGCAAGAGGTTAAGAGGTTAACAGCTGGGCTTGGATGAGGTTGAACATCTGTGCAAAATGCTGTTATATAAAACGTGGAGCTTCTGATCTGAATTGCTTGGAGGTTCTAATCTGACCTTATGAGTAAACAACCTCTGCTGATGCAAGCCAAAGAAATGTCCACATCCTTTTTTTCAGTCAGTCAGTCAGTCAGTCAATCAAAAAAATAACAATGTAAGGGCTCTGTATTAATGTAGAGAAATGGTGCACAAAATAACGCCAAAAAAATAAAATAAATACAAAATAAGTAGCAAAGATAAATTATTTTTCCAAACCGGATAATCCTCATCAATAAAAAGGCGAAATGGGTGAATTTTGAACACCTGCATTAATCAGTGGGTGTGTGTGCATGTGTCTGGGTGTGGTTTGTGGACAGTGTAAAGAGACAAATAATCAGAGCTGTTGTCATAATCAGCAAACACAGCCCTGAAGACTGATGCGTGTATTTGTATGCATCAATCTCCATATATCCTTTATATATACTCTCTCTCTCTCTCTCTCTCTCTCTCTCTCTCCTTGGAGAGTTTAAGCTCACTTCCTCGAAGTGGTAATGTGGCATTGCAAATGATGATATTCATTTAAAACTAGCAATTTATTCTGGCTAAATTACACAACATAAAACAGCACATTAAATTTCTAAACGTTCCTCTACATGCATGCACACTTTACCAATGTGTTCTTATCATGATTAATTACTTGGAACTAATCACTGAAATCACTGGATTTTTGGTGCTGTGGAACGTATAATTGGTGACTTGAGCACTTTCAGGTGGCTGTTTTTGAAATTTCCAGGTATATCTATATTTAAATTAGGTACCCTTATGGATTGCAGTGGATGCAATGGAGTAAAAACTTTTGAAATAATAATATGTTGAGCTCTCCTTGACTAACTGAAATTCAAATACATACATATGTAACTTATTCTGATGACAGAATAAGTTCTATCATCTAGAATTTTTGTCCTTGAAGAGAGTTGCTGTTTTTTCCCATTAATTTAACAGATAATTTTTTAGTGTA